GTTAAAAAAATATTCTACAGCTCAAACTTGACAAAGGTTTGGATTTTTTCTGATCTTATGACTGCATTATATTCATTTCAAAGTCATTAGAAATCCATGAAGTGTGCTGTGTTTGCTCAGGGCAGACAGCCACTTCTGAATACATTTTAAAAAGGCAGTGTAGAGGGGATAAGATTAGGCTGCCAAGTGATTTCTGAATCATTTCACTACGTTAAGAATGAGTTCTGTTGTCTAATCCATTTTTCATTATAGAACATGACTTCACTTAGTGATAAATTGTTTTTACTGCTTGGTGCTACAAAACAAACTTTCTTTGATAATCGCAGCTATCACTTGTTCTGCAGTGTTTGTGTTGTGCAATAAAATATGCTGTAAAACTTGAACATTTAATTTAACACTTGCCTGTAAGAAAAATATAATGCATGCATTTTGTAGAAGTAAAATATGCTAGAAGGGGAATTGAGGAGTAAATGATAGAGAAATTATTCCTTTGTGGATGCTGTATTTTAAATGTGGTTCTACTGTGGTACATCTTAAAGTAATTTCTCCAAATTCAGTTATCAGAGCTGGGTACTTTATGTAGAGTACACATTCAGTTCCTGTAGAGGTTGCAGTGTTATATAGGAGAGGGAGAGGAATGGGAGGACATTGGGAATGGAAATGTAACCAAATTATGATGGATTTTTAGTTAATTGGTAGATTCCTTTTGAAATGAATCAGAATTAAGAGGATGTGGGAGGGGTGAATTAGGTTAGAATAGACTAATGGTTTCAAATCACATCAGTGTAAACTTGGCCCTTCATTCTTCTGTGGCACATAAATAGAATGTCATGTAGTTTGCTGTGGGCATGCTTACATGTGTGTTTTCAGCAGGTATGAAACTTTAACCTCTGATGTTTTCTGCCTGTTTTACATGAACACCAAAGATCCTGTGGCATTCTTTGAAAGAAACAAGCTTTGTTCTGATATCCATGGCCAACATTTACTATTTCCTACTGTTGTGCAGCAAAACCTGTGTCACCAGAGGTGATTGCATGTTGATGACACTGTGTTATTACTATTTTTATTAATTTTTATTGCAGTGCAACTTAGAAATCACATCTCACCATAATAGATATGCTACAAGCATATAACAAAAACATTGTGCCTGCTCTAAAGAGCTGAAGTCTATATACTTTGAGATGGGAGATGGTACAATTATTTTACAACTGTATAATGTGTAGAGCTGGAGCATATTCTTATTTTCTTATTTCAAGTTGCTATATGTAACCTAATAGTTATAGTGAGGCAATGGTTAAAGGGTTTTTTGGGTTGGAATGTATTTTAGATTTTAAAGAGCAAGCCTTTTGTATTGCCTTAAATTTAACTTTTGTAGCATTCATGAAATCTTCAATTTTAACACTATTGTCTTTTTAATGAGCATATATAGAATAAAAAAATGGAATATACAGTTGGATTTGGCTGGTAAATGCCAAAGGAGAGAGACAGGAATCAAGATTGTAGAGAAACTGTAACATATCAAATATTTCTTCTTAATTTATTAGCTTTTGCACATTAATGTTCTATGTATCAATATTAGGGATGTTAAATTTAAATTAATTAATTAATCTAATAGTCAATGGGATTTCCATCCACTAGTCAATTAGTTGATAAGGACTAGCATGGAGTCTCCCGCTGACCCTGGGCTCCACGCAGTGTTTCAATCTTTGAAATGCACAAGAGCCCCCCTGGGGCTCTTGTACATTTCAAAGGTAGAATGCTGCTGTTGCACCCTTGCCGCCTCCCATGGAGCTGGAGCTGGGAGGGGAACCGGCTTTTAAGCTGGTCTCCTCCAGCACTAGCTGCTGCTCCCCCTCTGATAAAGGCAGCAAACAGGGGAAGTGCCTAGTCGAGGGAATAGTTGACTATCCAATACAATACATCATTTAAAATCAGCCTTGTAAAATCATGAAAATTTACCAGCACAGACAAACAATCTACCTGCCTACCCCTTGAAGATGATACTTCAGTCATTTATGGGAAAGAACCAGTTTTGTCTTGGGCGAGTCACACTTTGCAGGACTGATCTTAAGAAGCACAAATCTGTGTAATATAGATTTATGATTACTCTTGTAAAGTGTATTTTGGAAACAAATGGCTCATATTGATGAATAGATACTTATTTGATACTTATGTCTGCATGAAACTCTAGATAGCTGGACTACATCCATGATTTGTGTATAATATTTTTCTGGCTAGTACTTTTAATTTGTGAATTTCCTCCCTTCGAAGCCTTTGTGAATTTAGAAATCAACCTTATTTTATTAAAATAATTTTAGGATTATTGTATAATTATAAACTCCAATTTTAAGATGCTAAATTCCATTCTGACTTTGGGGTTCTGTAACATTCCCAGTGGACAGGATTCCTCATTGTGTGTAATGGGTTCATGATGGCAGTTGATGCTGAAATAGGCCTTCAGAGTTGGCTGGAGAGCTGACTGATCTTTTCATTCTTCTGCAATATGGTTGCCCAGGTCATATTGGAAGTCCAGCTTATAGTACAGCTGCCTGAGCAGTCTCTTTATGTTAGGAGCTCCTTGTTGCTTGTCCTGCTGCTGTTTAACTTCTTTCATCAGCCCCTTGAAATTAAAAGTAAACTCTTCTTCCTCTGTTATCTGGTATCAGCTGAAGTAGCTAAGTAGAGGTTGGGCCTCCCTTGGCCCAGCACCCTCGGTACCTGACTGGTCCCAGATGAGGGATTTTGCCAGACCAGGGGAGGTCATTTCTGGCCCCTCTGTTATCATCCACTACTCCCCCCACCCCCAGCCTTGGATTGGCCACCAGCCTCCTGGCAGTCCGCCTCCACCCTTTCCTTGCTAAGCCAGGCTGCACAACTCCCTGCGCACCAGGATCCTGCCCTGCTTGGTGGCTTCGCTGTGGTGTGCCAGGCTTCTGGACACACTGAGCAACTCCGCTGCAGCCTCGCTGGGCAGTCCCACTGGTTGTACCTAGGAGCCCAGCTGCAGCACACCAGAAAGCCCAGCTACGGGGAACCCAGCTGCTACCCTTCCACCAAGACTCTCTGGTCCTGGAACATCTGTGGTCTTGTCCGACCACGGGTGCTACTGGATCAGGGAGTCCCAGTTAGCAGAGGTTCAATCTGTACTATGCTTGAGGGAGCTGAGAATTTGATGGAATATTGCTTCCTTGATTTTAATATATCACTTTTATTCCTTTATGGTAAACTTTGTAGCAGTAGGCTCCCCTCTTGCTGTGCAAATCCTAATACAGTGGTAGGAAGTTAGGAAGTTCATTCTTATTCCTCCCCGGATGAATGTAAATTTAATTTACTGTCACCTTATAGGTGGTTGGAGGCAAAGTAAAGAAACCAGGCAAACGAGGTCGTAAACCAGCCAAAATAGATTTGAAGGCAAAACTTGAGAGAAGTCGTCAAAGTGCGAGAGAATGCAGGGCGAGGAAGAAACTGAGATACCAGTATCTGGAAGAGTTGGTTTCAAGCAGAGAGAGAGCAATCTGTGCACTTAGAGAAGAGCTGGAAATGGTAAGGAATTTTCTTCTGACCTAACCTTGGTTTAGGGCTGGATCCTGTTCTGATTGATATCAGGGAGAGTTTTGCTATTGACTTAAATGAGAGCCTGATTAGGTCATAAGATGTCAGAATCACAAGAACAAATATGTTAAGTGCTTGCTTGGTTTACATGTTGAGTATGATCCTGGTATCAGAAGAGGTTTACAAGATTATTCGTATTTGTACTAGATATAAGCAAGGTGACGGCTATGCATTAGTGTCTCATCTTAAAATCCTATTTCTTATATTGGGGAAAGTACTTGATCTCTAAGTGTAGGGGCACACTGAAATATTGATATGTAGTCATCTGTTGTTTGTGGACATTTTCAGCCAGACTGCTTTTGTGCATATTGCTGACTCTCTGTGCACAAAATTATGTTTGTATGTGTAGCTTGTGTAGTTGGTTATTCAACTGTCTCATTGTTTGAACAAAATGGATGTATGTACATGTTTCATGGCACAATAAGTTCATAGAATCATAGAGCTGGAAGAGACCTCAGGAGGTCATGAAGTCCAGCCCCCTGCCCAAGGCAGGACCATTCCCAACTAAATCAACCCAGCCAAGGCTTTGTCAAGCTGAGAATTAAACACCTCTAGGGATGGTGGGCAAAAGAGAGCTTTCAAAATGGAGGGAGGAGAGGGAGAAAGGTGGCTTTATGGGCGACTAGCTTCTGCCTCTCCCTCCACTTTGCTCCTCTGATACAGAGGCAGCAAGAGGGGAGTATGTGTAGTTGTTAGGATTAATTGATAAGCTCAGGCTTATCAATTAAACATGTAGACAACTACACGCTAACATCCATACGTTGGTAACCTCTACTTTCCCATCTCTTAGTCACTCAGGGTATGTCTACACTACCCTCTTAGTTCGAACTAGGAGGGTAATGTAGGCATACCGCACTTGCAAATGAAGCCCGGGATTTGAATTTCCCGGGCTTCATTTGCATAAGCGGGGAGCCGCCATTTTTAAAACCCCGCTGGTTCGAACCCCGTGCAGCGCGGCTACACGGGGCTCGAACTAGGTAGTTCGGACTAGGATTCCTATTCCGAACTACCGGTACACCTCGGAAACCTAGTCCTAACTACCTAGTTCGAGCCCCGTGTAGCCGCGCTGCACGGGGTTCGAACCAGCGGGGTTTTAAAAATGGCGGGTTCCCGCTGGCTCCCCGCTTATGCAAATGAAGCCCGGGAAATTCAAATCCCGGGCTTCATTTGCAAGTGCGGTATGCCTACATTACCCTCCTAGTTCGAACTAGGAGGGTAGTGTAGACATACCCTCAGTGATAAAAAAGTTTGTATTTTTGTCACTTGTTAATGAGAAAGTTTTAATCAGCTATAATGTGGCTAAAAGGAAAGGAAACTTCCCATAATTCTGGCTTGTAGAATACCAGAAAAAACTTCTGAGTATCTCCAAGCATTAGATTCATGTGAAATTTTTGTTTTGAAAGGTGGTGAGCTGGAAGATTATTTTGGCTAATGGACATGCCAGCAAATGCACACAACGTTCCTTGCAGTTTAGTAATGTTCCTTACTATTTAGTAATTACTGCCACCAGCAGTAGTTGTGTTAACTGAAATATGATTTACTCAGGCCAAATATGCCATCATGGGCACATGTTTAACTCATCAGCAATCACGTAAATTCAAATTGTAAATTAATATAGTGGAAGGTAAAAATTACAGCTCTGTTTTGTCCACTAATGCAGCAGTTCTCTGTGGGTTAGGACTCCAGAGTAGGTCACAAGCCCATTTTAATGGGATTGCTGGGGCTGGCTTAGACTTGCTGTGGCCCAGGGCCCAAGCCCCGCCTCTCCGGGCCAAAGCCCTGGGTGGCAGGGATCGGGTTTCAGGCCTCCTGCCTGAGGCTGGAAGCCCTTGGGCTTTGGTTTTCATCCCTGGGTGGTAGAGTTTGGGCTTTGTTCCCTTCTCGTGGGACAGTGAGAGTTGGACAGATTCAGGGTTTGGTTGCCCCTCTTCAATGTAGTAATTTTTGTTGTTAGAAGGGTAGTGTAGCGCAATGAAGTTTGAGAACCACTGTGCTAATGCGATCTTGCCAGTTTGCTAATGCTTAATGTGTTTGCCTATTTCAGTACAAGCAGTGGTGCATGGCAATGGACCAAGGGAAAATCCCCTCTGAAATAAAAGCCCTGCTAACTGGAGAAGAGCAAAGCAAAGCACAGCAGAACTCAACCAAACTTGCCAAGTCTGGGAAGACAGAAACCCACAGTAACAATCCCTGTGAGTATCATGCCTGTGACAACAAAATAGAAGCCAAGTCTTTCTACGTGTAGGATAGTGTTCTTATACACAAATGATCAATTTTAGCATTGAGACTAAAGGTTTAGTGGGATGTGTAAAGACTTTGTGATATTACTACAGTTGTAGTAGTTGCAAAGCTGTGTGGTAATTTTCAAAAGAAAATGGTATGTTTCAGAACAGAAGATCTTTGCCATCATTTTCCCTATGATTAAATATTGAACATCTGACCTGTGTGTGTATTTGCCCTTCTTTGATCACAAGGCTACCATTTGGAGGTAAGGTATCAGAATATGTGAAGAAAGGGACTACTCTCGTATATAAATTCCTGTGTTCTACACACTTAGAAAACTGAATATACAATATATAAATGTCTTAAATCTCCCTGTTTTAAAAGAATGTTATTTAGGTTGCAAAATCAAGCAAGCACTTGAAAATTAGGAAGTGCCAGCTTTAAAGTTGACTGTGCAAACTTGATTTTTCCTCTTGGCATGTCCATCCTATGCAGTGAATGAAGCAGAGGTTTAGAGGAAAAAATATTGTGTGATCATATAAAATTATATCATATGGACAAACAAGCATTAAGCAGTAAGGTCGCTGGGGCAACAGTAAATCACCCGTTTTCTAACTTCGGAGCGCTTCACTTTGCAACCTAAATACAATTATATTTTTAAAAGCTACATTAAAATAATTTTCCAGCTAGTTTGTTCAGTTCCTTCCTCCAGTTCAGTCTTAAGTTTTCTCCTGCAGTTATCTTGAGTGTGGTGGCCAGGGAGAATTGATGACCATGATTACCTCACTCCTCTTCCTTAAATAGGATTTTCCTAAGGTGGGAATCCTTTATCTTTAGCCTAAACTTCCACTTTGTTCTTCTGGAAAAATACAGCATCAAAAAATGGGTCCCACCGTCAGGTGACATGGCCACGTGTCTCTGCAAGGCCTCTGTCTCTGTTCTGAACCGGCTGACCCATATGTCCACAGGAAAGTTAAGCTCCATTGTCTCTTGCTAATGGGCTATCACAGCACTGAAGCTTTAAACAGTGGGAGCAGGGCTTGCCTTTTGGAAAATGGTGCTCTGGGTGAACTTGTATGTTGCTGCCCCCTATTTCCCTTGGCTGCCATGGGCTCCCCTACCCCTGGACTCCCTGTGCTCCCTTTGCCATTAACTCCTGTCTCTCTTGCACCCTAACTCCTACAGTGTGCCCCAACTCCAAGATTTTGTCACCTTCACCCCACCCCCTGCACTTCCCTCCCATCTGCACCCCCAGCTCCAGCTCTGCACTGCCAGTGTGCCTACCACATAGCCTCCCTGCCCAGAATCACGCAACCCCTTATGCCCAGTAACCCCCATTCCCAGGGGCCTGGCACCCAGAGATCACCACAAATCCCTATGCCCAGTGCCCCTCCACCCACAGACCCTCCACACTGCCCAACACCCCATATTCCTGAGGCCATTTGGCACCAAAAATGTAGTATTCTGTGCACAATATTTTAAAATTCTGCAAATGTTATTGTCAATAAGTAAATGTGAGTCTCCAACATGGGAGTGGCCAGTATAGGCCACTGGCTGCATAAAGGTGGGAAATCATGTTGCATCCCCACAAACACTCCTCTCCTTGCCATGAGATGCCTGTGGGTGCATGGCAAAAGGCCACAAGGAAGGGTTTTACATGATGGTTGAGATCAGCCATGACCCAAGATCCGTTTGAATGACAAAAAAGAAATAGCTAATAGTAATAACTGAGTCCAGTTCTCATCCAGGCCCTTGTCGGCCATAGGGATGTGAAGGAGTCCCCAGCTCCATGGGGTGCTGCCACTTTGAAATGCCGCGAGGAGCCTGACTCCGAGCTCAGTGTGGCGTTTCAAAGTGGCAGTTCTGCTTGGATCCCAGGGTCAGCGGAGAGTTCACAGCTGACCCTGGGCTCCTTGTGGCGCTTTCGCCTTTAACGTGTAGCAATAGCCCTAGGGCTGTTTCTATACTTCAAAGGTGGAGACACCCTATCGACTAGACAAATAGTCAATGCAAAATGCACCGATTATTCGATTAGTCAGTTAATCACAATTTAACATCCCTAGTCTGCCATGGCTCTGGGCCATCACCTCCTAAATGGCCTTTTCATTTCTCCCTCAGCCTGAAATGCAAAGAGATGTTTCGATGGGCAGATTACTAAGAACAGGACCCATCAGACACCATCCATAAGAAAAAGAAATGTATCTTTTCCCTAAATAAAAGTTTTCAAAAGCAAATCCATCTTCCTGCCTAAGTTGTTCCCTCCATTGCATTCTGCAGCCCTGATTGCTGCTTTTCTGCTCCAGGTATATAACCCTTGAGTGGGTAGCCAGGGAGAAGTGACAACCAGGAGGACCTTTTTCTTTTTGTCAATTTCTTGTTGACAAGGGCAGAAGCAGTCACCTTTTATTCCCCTCCTCTGTATCCAGGCTGTGTGTGTGTGTGTCCCCCTTTGCCCATCTCTGAGGTGATCCTTGGCTTCTGGGTTTAAATTTCCAAGCCAAAGGGGAGAGAGTGAAAAGGTGAAACTGACCCCATGACCTATTCATTTTTAGGCTTTTCTATTATCTGAAAAGCTCTGCAAATATATTCCCAACTCTTAAGCCATCTAGTCAATATGTCATTACAAAGCTTGACACAGGCCAGACAAAGGGAGCCTTCCATGTCATGTAAATTGACAAGTATCAGTGATCTTTGAAGAAAATTAAGTGATAGGAGACAGCCAGCATGGATTTGTAAAGAACAAATCATGTCAAACAAGTCTGATAGCTTTTTTTGATAGTATAACAAGCCTTGTGGATAAGGGAGAAGCAGTGGACGTGGTATACTTAGACTTAAGTAAGGCATCTGACACGGTCTAGCATGACCTTATCAATAAACTAGGGAAATATAACCTAGGTGGGGCTGCTATAAGGTGGGTGCATAACTGACTGGTTAACCATTCTCAGACAGTAATTATTAACAGTTCACAATCATGCTGGAAGGGCCTAACAAGTGGCATTCCGCAGGGGTCTGTTTTAGGACTGGTTCTGTTCAATATCTTCATCAGTGATTTGGATGATGGCATAGAGAGTATGATTATTAAGTTTGCAGATGATACCAAGCTGGAAGGGGTTGCAAGTGCTTTGGAGAATAGGATCAAAATTCAAAATGATCTGGACAAACTGGAGAAATGGTCTGAGGTAAACAGGATGAAGTTTAACAAGGACAAATGAAAAGTTAGGAAGGAAAAATCCCTTTCACATATACAGAATGGGAAGCGACTGTCTAGGAAGGAGTACTGCTGAAAGGGCTCTAGGGGTCATAGTGGACCACAAGTTAAACATGAGTCAACATTGTGACACTGGTGCAAAAAACATCAAACTTGATTCTGGGCTGCATTAACAGGAGTGTTGTGAGCAAGACATGAGCAGTCATTCTCTTTGACTCACTATATATTTATTGTAGCTCTTAAAGATGTGTCTCTATAGATGGTCCACTACCTGCCCTCCTCATCCTGGTTTGGACATTTGGATAGAGAATGAACCGCTGAGGGTGGTTTGCCTGTGCAGCCCCTGCATATGCTCTTTGTGGAGTGAGAGGTTGTATAGATAGCTGAATGGACTTTGCTAATGGAAAATCTGAGCTCAAGAGTTGCACCTATAGGGACGTACATCGTGAAGAACTGCAGTTATTGCACAGGGTGAGGAACCCCTTATTAATTTCTGATTATAACCGATCTTCATGCCACAGGATCTCTACTTCACAAATGTAAACTGTGTGGCACTTGAGCTCATGTTTAAATTCCAGTGGCCTCAGTGGAATTAAAGTTAAGCACATACAGGCAGTCCCCGGGTTACGTACAAGATAGGGACTGTAGATTTGTTCTTAAGTTGAATTTGTATGTAAGTCGGAACTGGTACATATTGTAGGGGAAACTCTAGCCAAACATTTCTCCAGAGCTCAGTTTTATTCTTCCACACCTCACTTCCCTCAGTTCTTTATTCTCAAACTGAGGTGTCTGCTGAGAAAAGCCGCTCCACGTCTCCCTGGTCTGCTGTTCGCGTCTCCCTGGTCTGCTGGGGGGAAGCAGCTAGTGCGGGGTTGCCTCACCCCGTTTGTAAGTAGGGATCCGATGTAAGTCGGATCCATGTAACCCGGGGACTGCCTGTACTTTAAATTCATTGTTGAATCAATGCTGTAGAAACTACACAGAGAAATTACTTTCTTTAGAGGAATGTTTCATTCCATATCTGGTTATGTGGCAAAGGGACAACGTTTAGTTTTACATCTCATCAAAAATACTACACCTCTCTTCCTCTCCTCCTTTATTATTTATTTACAACAACTAATTTTAAAGTTTCTTGTACAACAAGTTTATTTTATGGGGAGGGAGAACAGGAGTTGGAATTTCCTCTGTCACCTTAAATTTCCCATCATTGGGAGCAATGGCTTCCCCATTTGCTGCCCTTGACCTCAGTGGGTGTGGTTTTCTGGATTAGCCAGCCATTGATCTTCTAGGAGCCTGTCTAAAGTGAGAGTCCACTGTCATGTGGCACAAATAGTGTGTTTGTGTTCTGACATTGTTGCTTTCAATGAGCTAAAATAGTTATAGGATTATGTAAGGGAAATATATTCAGCCCATGTCATGACGATGATCAATAATAGTTGTGTATACTGCAGACCAAAAAAGTGTCAGCACACAGGTGCTTCTGGCTCTATCAGACAGCTGTATGCTGGCATGGCTAGACAGTTACTAAAGATGGGTCCAAACAGCATTCTATTTGTTACCCTCCTAGTTTGCCCCAGACATTCTAGTTCAATCACAAGTCATTGAACTTGATTCAGGAATCACTGGATGAAATTCTATGGCCTGTGTTAGGCAGTCAGTCAGACTAGATTATAAAAGTTGCTCTCATATTAAAATCTTTTAATCTTCATTAGCCCTTCATTTTGGGGCTTAAGTTCATCAGCTCCACTTGGAGATTAAAACTGATCTTATTCTTGCACATATGGTACCCTCTGCCTGCGGATCTTGTCTGTACACAAAACGACTCCCAGAACTGTTCCCTTGTAAAGAATATATATATAATACTTTTAGTGGAGTGCCATTCAGTACACCAGATAATTAAAATAACTCTCCTCTATAATTCCTCTTAGGCTACGTCTACACTACGAGTTTTCTCGGCAAAAAATATGCTTACGAGGGACTCATTTGCATGAGTTGCAATCTCATTTGCATATTTTCTGCCAATCCGTTTTTGTGCTGGGGTTTTTGTGCAAAAACAAGCAGTGTGGACATTTTCTTTTTGCGCAAAACCCCTTTTTTCTGCAAGATCCTTATGCCCCAAAAAAGGAGGTTTACCAATCTTGCAGAAAAAGGGGTTATTGCACAAAAAGAAAACGTCCACACTGCTTGTTTTTGCACAAAAACCCAGCACAAAAACGGATTGGCAGAAAATGTGCAAATGAGATCGCAACTCATGCAAATGAGTCCTTCATTAGCATATTTTTTGCCAAGAAAACTCGTAGTGTAGATGTAACCTTAGTGAAAGGAAGTATTTGACCCTCAGTGCCTCCCCCACTTCTCTTTCTACTGATGTGGCAATAGCCATGTGTGTAGCTGTCGTCTCTCATCGATATTGAAGGAGATGGAGGTGAGCATCCCATGTATCCACCTGTCACAAAAGAAATATAAAAGTCAGTACCTTAGCTGTGTTGGAAGGCGTGTGGGAAGGAAGTAGAAGTTGTCCAGATACTTAAAAAACAGTGTTAGGTGAACCCTAGCATGTCTGGTGTTTGTAGCAAAACCAAGCACTTAATTTCTGTGCACTGCAATTCTTCTATGTTTTGTGTATGCATGACGTTGACTGCAATATTATGCTAATGAACTGAGGTATTTTAATGGAATTACATGGGGTACAGTTGGAGTAAAGCACTGGTCCAAGAAGTTCATAGATACCTAAGAAAAAACCCACTGTAAATCTTTTCCTTTTTCATCCCAGATATTTGAAGCATAAAAAAGTGAGGGGATGGATTTTGTATATCTGTCACTTAATAGAGAACGTTTTGCCTAATTATATATATTTTTAAGACCCATCAATCAAGGTTTGCTTTTATAATTGGATAATAGTAAGTGTTCACCAAACACTGTGCACTTTATGAAGTACTTCTCAGAAGAATTTTGTAACCTTCAAGTAGTTATTAAAACGTATTAGATTTCATTAGACTTTATTTTTTTGGCAGCTGGAACCATCACTGTGTTTAGAAGAGTCCTTGTGATTGATTGCTTTTCTTTTTCAGGGTGAAAGTTGTTAATGAAATATGGAAGTCAATTGTGAATCCAATCCTGCTTGGCATCCTGTGAAAGAACGGAGAAAATTTTGCAGCATATTTGTTTGCTCTCTGCCACTGAATTAATTGTGTGATATTTTTAATTGACATAGCACAAAAGACAGTGTTAATATCACCCCCAAAGAATTTGATATAGCCCACAAATGCAGAGAAATTCAGAGTAAGGCTGAAATTTGACTTTAACCAATGCATGTTTAAGTATTATAGCATATGTGACATGCAAGATCATCTGATGTTGTTACTTCTGCAGAAATTGAAGACAAAATTTCAGCCTTAACACTAAATTTCCTTCTTGTTAATACTATGTAATATTCTCTTGGTGTTTGCCTTTTATATTATTAAATCTGTTTATTTTTATGGTGGCTACTTGGGGAAAGTGCTTTTAATCTGAAGAAAGATAAGAGACCTTATGCTCCTGATATTCCATGAATACACCCAAGATTAGGTTGAATTTGTGTGTGTCATATGCATGTATGGCATGCATTATAACATCTCCTTTTAACCATTCTTGTAGAAGTTGTTAATATGTATTAGTGGTATTGTCACTTGCATTGCTGTTATCTACCTGCCCTCCTTTAAATTGTGACTAGAAACTATTAAGAGCCTTGTTTCTTTACTAATTAATTGTAGCAACACTTCAGTCTTTTAAAAAAAGAAACCCTGGTTTAAAGTTACTTTTGAAGCCATTGAACTTTTTGGGGGCCTGATGCCTAGTTACTGGAAGGTTTGGCTGGATAGAATGAAAGAGTAGAGACACTTCTTCCCATTTAATTCTAGACTGGCTTTAATGAATTACACTGACAATGTTAACTATGGCTTCAAACCATAGTTTTATGTACTTCAAACCATAGTTTTATGTACATAGGTTTGGCAAAGTTTGAGTTTAAAAAATAATATTGATGTTCATTTGTGAGTGTTTTTTCTGTTTAGTGGGTTTTTTTTTTTTTTACAGAAGCACAAAATTATGGAAGTTGTTGCATTTTTAAACATTTCTATAGATTTAAATATTCACAATTGCAGGAAATTATACGGGTTGGTAATAAACTGGGTGGGGCAGAGAATAATCAAGAATAGAAATAGAGATTCAAAAAGTTAAACCTTCATAGCCATTAAAACAGATTGTGAACATATTATGTAAAAATATACAAAATAAATATCTTTAAATCGAACCCTGATAAAAAAAATATTGCTTAAGAGTTTACTTTGCTTATCTGTAAACTTCAATTAGCAATGGGGAGTATAACAAAGTGAGGGTGGAAAATGACGCAGTAGAGCTAACTGGTGCTTTGATGATAAAGGAAGATTCCATTCCAGGACAGGAGGTTGTCAGTAGATTGCAAAATGTATGTTTCAGCAAACCAACATGATTGAAGTAAATACAAAAATGTTCTTGATATGGATAAAGGCTTTTTTCTTCAATATCCATTCTCTCGCTCCGGAGGTGCTGGCCATAGCAATGCTACACATTCTGTGGTCGGGTTTGCCTTTGGTGTCCTAGGTAGGACTGATCTAAGCTTTCACCAAAAGCTATTATGTCTGTTTAAATGTCAGTTAATCGGTGTTACTTCAAAATATGGATGTAAAATCCCAGTTGAACAAAGTGTTTCATTGGTTAACTGCAGTGTCACACAGTGGCCCTGGCTGTGTTGGAACAGACCTCACATACATATCTCTCAAAACAGTTTACAAAGGAGGGCAGTATCAACACATTTTACAACCATGTCTGAGATGAGGGAAAATTAAATTAATTGATGTTGTGATCTCGTTGCTGCGAATACAGGATCAAAGTCAGATTTGGTGTAAGCAGTTGCAATATCATTGAAGCTAATGGAGTTACCACAGCTTATATCAGCTTTGAATTTGACCCAAAGAGCAAGATTATCTGGAAACAAAACAAGACTTTGTATGCAATAGCTATGCCAGCACAAACTTCGTTCTTGACTCTTCATTAAGACAGCTCACCAGATTGTGATGTTATGTTAACTACAAAGCAATTCAAATAACAATGATGTAACTTATAATGGTTTATTCCACTGCATTTAGTAGGTTGAAAAAAGCTAATTTATGAAGACCTGTCACAGAATGACTTGACAGAATAGACCTCCCATTAAGCATAGAGATCTGGATTTTATATACCTCAAATGTAGTGTTTGTGTGTTGAGATAAAAGGCCAGATATCAGAAGAACCATCATTCACAACAATTCACAAATTGTTTGTCTGCTAGGTGCCAAAGAGAGATCAACACATTTCACACACTCCTCTGATCAGCTACTAGGTAGCAGTGACTTTCAGACATTACCGATTTGCCCCACAATTGAACTGGTCAGAGGGTCAGTCCCTGAAGTCCCTTCTTGGAGCTTACTCAGGAAAAGCTCCATCAAACCTCACCAGAGGTTTACCTATGAACTGAGAAGGACTTGCAGGATGTGACCCTTACTCGCTAAGAATTTTGAGAGGGGCACTGTTTTTCTATTACGTAAGTTCATCAGCAGTAACGCTATAGCAAGCAATGAACTTTCAGTGAGGTAAAACCAGAGTATGTGAAATCAGAATAGGGCCCTAAGATTTTAGGCAGATACTTGGGTTTAAATCCTGATCACCCTGAAGTCAGTGGCAAAATTCCCATTGACTTCAGTGGGAAGAGCATTCCACCCATGTTGAACAAAACTAAAAAGACAAAGTAGGGAACGTACAATTTAATAATTACCTGCGGCAGCAGATACACTACACCATGGGGGGGCCCCCATTGCTCGGATTCCATGGAAATGACTGTGCCTGTAGGCTTCCAAATTCTAGACCCGTGGTCTCCAACCTTTATGAGCACAAGATCACTTTTTGAATTTAAGTGTAATCCAGGATCTACCTCAAACCCAAATACCCTTGCCCTGCCTCCTTCCCACCCCTTCTCCAAGGCCCTGCCCCTACTCACTCCATCCTCACTCACTTTTATCCGGCTGGTGGCAGCGGTTTGGGGTGCAAGAGGAATTCAGGACTAGGGCCGGTGTTTGGAATGCAGGCTCCAGCTGGCACCACTTACCACAAGTGGCTTCTGGGTGGTGGTGCACGGGGCTAAGGCAGGCCCACCCCTGCCCTGGGTTCTGCACCACTCCAAAAGCAGCCAGCAAACTCCCTCTATCCCTGCCCTCCTCTGCTCTGTGGAGGTTGGGTACAGGGTGGAGGGAGCGGCACCCTGACATCAGCACCCCCTTCCTCTTCTTCCTGTGCTCTGCACAGCGAGCAGGAGGCTCCTAGGGGTGAGGGGCATCTCCAAGGCAGAGGGCAGGAGCAGCAAAGCAGTGCTGAGAGGGGCAAATGAAGTGCCGGCACTTGACAGCTTCCTGGCCAAACCTGTCAGGATCACCTACCTGTCAAAGGTTCCAGGATCTACCAGTAGATCCTAATCTACTGGTTGATGACCACTGTTCTAGACTCAGAGCAGATGTTAGTTTCACCAGCTCCACTGAAGTTTCTGGCCATGTGTCACACCAGTTTTATGTTCCAGAGAAATCAGTGAAGCTACAACTGTGATCTAGGATAGACTGAGAATCAGTCCCTTTATGCTTACATAGGAGTCAAACAAGTGACATTTCCTTCCAATGAATTTTTAGCTCTAAGTAGAAGATGGTGCCTGAATTAAACCAAGTCAACTAACTGGTTTATCCCAAAGAGAACATAGTCATTTCCATTCCTCTAGAAAAAGGGGAGAGGAAGAAAAACCGAAGAACTACACAAAGGATCATTACAGCTACTGAACCTATTTCCACTGACACTAAAGCAAAACTCCCATTGACTTCAGTTGCAGCAGGCCTTCAAAAGGAGGAAGAACAAATAAAATATACATATTGGCTCATTTGTTACCAGATTTGCCCAATACTCTGGGGTATGCTCCTTTATTAGGGTTACTCTTATGGGACTGGGGGAGGTTAACAATTCTATCAGTGTGCTGCTTGTGCTAACTTGTGCTCTCATATGGAGATGAATTCTTCCTGCTGCCAATTCCCCCTCCCACTGGAGCTTTCCTGCAGGAACTAGGTTCCTCAGGATGGGGTTCTTCCCACCTTAACAACACACACAGGCACTCACACCCCCTAACAGAGCACACCTGAAAGGACTGGGTAATCAGCATTCACAAGCTGACCATATGTCTCTGGATTCAACAGGCAGGGTTTAAAAGCAATGCCACGCTGAACCCTCATGAGCCTTTGGACTCAGTGGGCTGGATTAAACAGCACTTTAAGCTGCCATCCTCATAAGCCCCCAGGTTCAGCACCCGCTATCCCCACTTTCACACCACAATCATTCACTGGTAAACCACATGATGAGCAAACCCCCACAGGATTTTGGGCACTACAGGGATCTTTAGCTTGGGTACAAAAAGCGTTGTTGCAGAGTGAATGGGGAAGCCAAAACAACACCTCTTGAGGAAGAGTGAGCGAAAGAGAAAGAAGCAACCAGCTTAACAAAGAAAGTTATTTATTTCTGGGTAGTGATAGGAAGCCAAACGCACATAACAGTTACAATATTAAATCTAAATTGAAATTGATTACAAATGTTAGGGCTAGCTAACCATATAACAGTTTACATAGATCAGAGTCAGGAGGCTCTGCTTGGGTGCGGGGGGAGGGAGGCGAGGAAGAGGGAGAAAGAGATAGAGACCTAACCACTCTGTGGAGCTTGCATTGATTGGGGTTCCCAGATGGTGATGGTAGCTGGGGGTCCAGAGGCAGAAGACAAGCAGAGCAGAGCCCCCAGCACGATCAGACAGGAGATGAAGAAGTCTCAATGGAACTGATGTAGTTTAAATCCAGGTATCAGAACAGTTTTTCTTGGGCAAGAGTAGGAGTTTGTATAGGGATAGGACAATAGTTCAAAGAGAGACAATAGAGACTGATCACCTCGGTTATGGGTTATGTTCCTTGAACAAGCTCACAGTGCAACTAGGCAGTTTCAGTATTTTGGATATCAATAGGATTATTACTAGAATTGGTCTGATAATGACTAATTTGGGTGTGAGCAGGCCTGGGTTCATCAGCATCTGGAGCAGAGATTTCCCATCAGGCAGTGCTTCTCTGCTTTCAGTATCCCATAGTTCAGTGTGGTTCCTGCTTTGGAAGAGCTGGTCTCCATTCTGTATGCTAATGAGATATCCCTCTGTTCTATCTTCAGTGCAGATGAGGCTGGGGTGTTTCCTTAATTAGTTTAGGTGTGTCTTCCCCGGCCTTTTCCTTGCTTTGTCTGATTCTAGCAGAGACCTAGGGTAAGGGGGGGATGGTTTTCCATGAATGTTACTCCCTGGCTCCCCAAGAGCACAGGGCTGGTACTTAACACAAAGAGAAGTCACTAAGTAGATTGTTTCTCCATGAGACATCACTATTACTTTGTTTTTGTGTGTCCAACTAAGGCTTGATCTACACTGGGAGTTTAGGTCAAACTTAGCTGTATTAAACAATTTTCTAAACAGTAAATCCATACTACCAGGCCTGTTCCATTGATTTTAAGGGCTGTTAAAGTTAATTTCGGTACTCCTGCTTTCACAAGGAGTAACACAAAATTTGAACTTGCATGGTCGACTTTATGGTAGTACAAACACAGTGTTGTAAAAATCGACATTCTTAGCCTCTGGGAGGTGTGCTACAGGGCCCCGTTGTGACCACTCTGGCCAGGACTTTCAACTCCACTGCTCTCCAAGTGAATAAGAAAAGCCCTGGGAAAATTTGAACTTCATTTCCTGTGTTGTCAGCATGGTGAGCATTATCTCAGAGCAGACAGCACACCTGACCATGAGTTCCCAGGGTCGTGGATGAGCACAAGCATGGAGCATGCAGGAGATCCTGGACCTTATTGCTGTGCGGGGAGAGGAATCGGTTCTCACGGAACTACAAACCAATCAGAGAAACAGTTATCTATGCAAAGATCGCAAAGGACCTGGAGGAAAAAAGATATGCCAGGAACATCCAGCAGTGCTGAGTGAAAATAAAGGCACAGAGGCAGTCATTCCAGAGATAAAGGAAGAAAACACAGTCTTGGATCATTACTGCAAACATGTCACATCTGTGAGCAGCTGCATGTGATCCTTGGGGAAGGTGGGCCCAACACCTTTCTTAGGCGGTCCATGGGTTCCTCTCAAGACACTCTTCAGGCAGCAGCATGGAGGACAGAGTAGATGAG